AATACGAAGCCAGAAAGCAACGCTAATGATCGGCATTAAAGCGGCCCAGAGGGGCGACTATCGCCATCTCCACTCCAACCGAATCCACTCAGCTAAGCAGCTGCAAGAAGTCTTGCTAAGAGATGGAGGGCTGGAGGGAGGTCTGTGCAGAGTGCATGCGAAAACTTCCGCAAGTCTTAACATCCGTTGCCACAACACAGAGACAGAGGGCAAGGCAAGTCCGCAAGTTCCACGGCCTCAGGAAGTGGAAGTGACACATTCCAAGCCGATCAGCCAGCCAGACAGACAGGCAGACAGGCAGACACACAGACCGACCGGCTAGCGCTTGCATTGTTCTCAAATCCTTACTGACATACTGAATGTGTGTTCGCCAGCATTGTGTGTTGTTGGGTCTTGTCTAACGCTTGCTGTGCATTTGTCGCCAGCTGCCGCAACTCAGCTTGCCGCTGAGTGATTGCAATCTCATTATGTTCCTCAGCAGCAGCTCCCCGACATGGACCTCAGCAGACAGTTGGAGGAAGCAGAGCAGAAAAACCTGAAAGCATTCCGAATTATGCAGTAAAATTGTCAAAGAAACTGTTGCGGGCACACATTGTTTTACACTTGTTAAATCATTGTCATTCTTCAGATGCTGATTTGGCTTAGTTCCCGTTTTTTCTTAGCTCTTTATGTGGGTTCCGATTACAATCTGTAGGCCTCGTCGTTATGGGTGCATTTATACGCAATTAGAGCCACTGTTTTCTTTGTTTATATTTATCCTCAGTAAATGTTTCTATAGTGCATAATATAATATATGTAAATACAACTTCTGTTGAGCGTTGTTTCAGAACTCGCTTAATTATTGGCACATTTTTCAGAATTTTGAACGAACAAACCAAAGGTGCAGCTCTGGGACTGGGACTGGGACTGGGACTAACTAACATAACTTACACAAGCAGCATACTAGAGCGTTGCAATGTGGCAAACTGTGAGGCCAAATCAAAACTAAATCTAACAATGTTAATGCTGATAAACTCTAGACTATAAATAAGGGCACAACTCTTAGGAGAAGTAGAAGTGTTTTAGAAGTAGCTTTCACACACTTATTGGCGTATTGTCCATTCACAAATAAATATACATTGAATATTTGTATGCTTGTGGGGTTGTAAAGTCCATTGGTAGTTACTTTTTTTGGTACACACTCTGCCCGACTGCCCCAGGGGGGTGGGATGCAAAATAAAACATTCTTATAGGTAGGTTATATAAAGCTATGTGGAGGCAGCGGCGGGATACGTTTCATCGTCGATGGAGGCTGTTGCTACTTGCATAGTCAACACTTGGGTGTGTTGGCCCCGCTGCTCACGCTGCTCGTCTCCAGGTGCTGCATGAGCAGCTGCTGGAGATCGGCGCGCAGGGCACGCTCCTCGTTGATTTGCAGCTTGATCTGGGACATGTCCTGCTGCATCTGGCGTATGGCGGTCCAGAGCTGTCGCAATGTCGGTGTCAGGTCCTCGTTCTCAAGGCCTGCTCGGTTGTGGGAGTTTTGGGTTGTTGTTTTTTTTTTTTTGTATTTCAGTTGGATAAAAGAATAAAGAACAAAATATGTTAGTGTGTTGTGTGATTGGTTGAGGATCGCATAATGGCATAGAAGTGGGGAGGCAGTGGATGGTCTATAATGTGTATGCATAAATCATAATTTGTAAGCTAACACAACGGAAATAAAGAGAGTGCTTAAGGGCCCCTACTTGGATCCTAGATCCCTACTAACTACAATACATTAAATTATACTAATTATATTATAAGCATAAATATTAATGAACAGCCACACACAGAGACAAACAAAAGGGCGCTTCGTCTTGTAAAGGAATTTATTCATTTTTCGTTTCATTTTTGTTTGATTTCAGCTCTCGCCTCTCGACTCGAATACAAATACAAACACGTATAAACGGATTAATAAATATTAGATTATAAGGTAGTTTCATTTGGTTAGACAACATTTTGCACAAAACACTTACAAATTACGGCCGGGGGGCTTCTCCCTCGTTCAATAATGCACAACAGTAGGTTACTTTGATTTAGTTGCTATGGCTAAGAGACTTTTAATCTGCCTCTGTGCACGTACTTTGATTCGATGTCTTGCTAGGCAGGCAACGAATATAAACACGAGAGTACTAGTACTAGTAATGACTTATAACTGGACAGCACTGGTCTACCCCCATTTTGGTTTAGTACGCACAGAACATAAATACGTTTACGAGTAAATGTTTACAGTTTACAAAGTTTATGCTATGGCAAAAAAATACACTTATAGAATCTATAGCAATATGTGTTCCCTACAAAGTGTAGCGGGTAAAGCCGAGGACGGAAATTGTAAAGCCCTTCTCTCGCAGCGGAACTAAACCGTATCGCATATAGCAGCCAGAAACCAGGAACCAGGAACCAACTGGAGCTGCTGGCAAGCCTCAAAGAGCTAGTCTCTAACTCGCTTAGTCTTGTCACGAAGGCAAACGGTAGGATGCTTATTACAGGACACAATATCAGCTATGCTAAACACACACACAAACTCTACTCGTAATTAAGTTTATAGACACAACAAGGCGGCGCTTAGGGCTTATGGCTAGGACTGGCAAATAATTTGTACAAACATTTTGGTCAAGTGTTGGGGAGCACGAAAATTGCTCTGGCATTGTACAAATTAGTTGTTACAATCTATGGTTAAGGCTTTTGGCATTGAAAGCGTTGCGCAGCCAGAAATCAACTAAAAATATAATGAAATATTCTTCATTCAAAGCAAAAGCTTGAGCAGCGGCTGGAGCAGCAGGCGGCAATGCGGGATGCGAATGCTGATGTTCTGATGCTGATGCTGATGCAGAGATGATTGATGAGGCATGCCCCGACCACACCCAGACAGACTCAAAGATGGTTGATCTTGCGCCATTGCTTCATCACAAAATTACCGCAACACCAGCTGCCCGACTGCCGCTTGGTACCGTCAGAGTTCAGCTCCAGGGACGCCGGACCCGCTCCATTGCGCAGCAGTGAGGCAGCACATCCGTGATCCTCGCGCTCCAAATCGCTGTCGTCCGACCTCTCGGCTCCAGCCAGCTGGGGCGTGCTCCGCTGGAGTGTGCTGGTGCGCAGTGCGCCGCCGCAGTTCATTAGATATCCAGCTCCATAGCCGGCATAGCGGTGGGATGTGGAGGTCTCGAAGGAACGGTTCAGCCGGCGGTCGTAGAGTCCGGGATGGGCAACGGTTCCATCTGGATTTGGCTTCACAATAGTTGTGGGCGATCTCTGATAGGTTTGCTGTGCAATCAGTTTAGGGGCGGGCTTGTTTTTCCTAGGCAACAAGGGCGAAGTGCATACGTTGTCGTAGCCAGAACCGAAGCCGCTCTTGAGGCGATTCAGGGACTTCCTGGTGGCCCGCTCCTCGGACAGCGCCCGCTGGTAGTCCTTGATCGAGGGCGATCCTCCTCCCGCTCCTGTGATGGAGTAGCGCTGCCCAGGGGCCGCATTCAGCGAGGACGACACCGAGCTGGAGTACAGATTGAAGTTGTTTGGACTGGCCTCGCGCCAAATGAAAGAGGAATTCAGGCTTCCTGCCGAGTGCTGTCGGTTTTGTTGCTGTTGCTGTTGCTGCTGCTGCTGCTGCTGCTGGTGATGCTGCTGCTGTTGTGCCTGGCTGAGGTAGGTGGCATTGGCTATGAAAGGCAGCTGAGGATTGGAGGTCGAGAAGGTCTTGCTCGTTTTCAGCTTGCCGCCGCGTATGGGCAGGCACGGAGTCCAAGGTTGCAAGACTACAGAGGCAGAGGCAGAGGCATTCAGTTCAAATCGGTTCGGTTTGGTTCGGTTCAGGAGTTGTTGGAAAGAGAGAGAGAAAAATGAAGATATTTGAAGAAAACGGAAAAACGAAATACCAACAGCGACAACAGGAAGGACGCAGAACCAAAACACCCAAACAAAAACTAAACACAAATGAAAAGAACCCAAAACGGGTGGAGCACAACGACAAGGGAGACAACAGCAAACATACATACAGGAAAGCATAAGTGGGAGATTGTGAGTTGATGAGGGATTGTGTATGGATGGACCGAACCAGGGGAGTGGACAGATACCAGAACCAGATACCAAGTGGGGGGGTATGAGAATAGAACAGAACAGAACGGAGGGAAATACTCTAGTTAGTGTGTGGAAAAGAATATTAAACCAAAACCCCTAGCAGTACGCATATACATACATAATGTGAGAGGCATAAAGTGACAATGCTGAATGGAGTGGTGGATGGTGCAATGATTTATTGGGCGGGCGGTCGTGGGTGTATCAATAAATTCAACTAAACTTTACACAGGTAAATGGGATAATAACAGAAACATAATATTTATTCAATGTGGGAATAAAACACAAACAATTCCAATTGCAAATACAAAAATATCAAGAGATTTGGTTCCTTTGCTCGCAGCTTAGCAGCAATTTCGCAGCTTCAAAACGAAACTTTAACGGCCAATTCTTTCAACTGAAAATTATAAATGATTAAACTCTCTTAAGGTTAAGGTTTGGTTAACAATTTTCAAGCTTAAAATTAAACTTTTCGCCTAAGCCTTAATACAATTTAAATTCTCTGCTCAATTTGGAAAAACTCTTCTTGGTTTAGTGAATAAATTCAGAGGTGATTAAAAAGCAAATTAAATTATGAAATTATAAACCAACAAAAATGAAAACTAAATGTACAGTGAGTGTGTGTGTGAGTGTACAGCTGTGTGTGTGTGTGAGTAAAATTAAGCAATTTTCTAATTATATTCAAAGTTGCCTTTTTGGTCAATTATTTGGGAAGTTCTTGGCACGACACGGAAATTTGTACAAGGCCTACAGCTAGCTGTGGCTGCTATATGAGGCACATGTTTGGCGGCCTGCGCCACTTACCCGAGTGTATGGTGTTCCTGGCATTGTTCTGGTAGGCGGCACAGTAGGCCTCGAAGACGCGCAGCACCAGGGCATCCTCCTCGTAGGTGGGCTGATTCTTACGACCGCTGCAGTAGCTGGCTAGGGCGTTGGAGGAACTACTGCTGCCGCCACCACCACCCCCACCGCCAGCACTGCCACTGCCACTTGCATTTAACAAACTGGGACGCAGCGGCGGCGTGGGACGCAAGCAGCTGATGGTCCAGTTAGCTGAGAATGCGCAGAATGGAAAACATTAGCGAAAAAGATTGATCAGGATGTGTGCTGCGCTCACCCTTTGTGCTTCCTTTCCTTGCGCTTGGCCCCCCCGTTGCTCCCGCTGCTGCTTGCAGTGCCGCCGGGCTGCCGTCCATGGCTGCCGCCGCTGGTGCCTGGGCTGCTGTCTTGCTGCTTGGTGTCTGGGCTGAACTTGATCTGTGGCCTGCCGCCCCCAGATGACTTGGTAGACTTGGTGGTTGTGGCGGATGCAGAAGATGTGGTGGAGGCTGAGTGTGCGTGTATTGGTTGTAGCTCAGGTGGTGGTTGAACGACTGGCTCCGTTTGTGTTGTGACATCGAGTTGGCGGCCGGAGAGCCCTGCAGACTGTTGCCCGACGGAACGGGCGGCACCTGCTGACGGCCGCCTGCCTGTGGAGGCAGCAGCAGCAGGCTGTGGCTCGATGGCGGCGACATCTGCAAGAAAAGAGAAATAACCCATGAATACTCAACAGTACAATAAACAGTATTTAGATCACTCTTGGCGGCTGCAAATTAACAAGAACAACGTACAGGCGGCAAGCAGTCCTGTGTGTGGCTGCAGCGAGCAAAGCGCAGCAAGCAAATCGAATCGAATGCGAATTTCTCATTTAGAATTTGTGGTTCTTTGTGGTGCTGAGCGTTAGATAAATGTTTTGTAATTCGTTTGGCTACAAAGATGACAACCTCAATGCAAAAACACAAGGCCAAAAAAGTAACAAAAGTTCTGCAGGAAACAGGAATGATTTTCTGGTATGATTAGTGGAGAGATTCTCCCTCTCGCTTCGGGCCATACACACGGGTTAGTCATGGAATGTCATGGATTGATGAGGAAGCATTTGTGTGGATGCGATCGTTTCGTTTTGGACGTGCTGCTTTTTTCCAAATGGTTTTTGAATATGGGTGGACATGAGAGAGCAAAACGAATTTACAAAACAATCAAACGGAACACGTGCACAAACGCCCACCGACCAGGCCACACGAAGCTCCATCTCTGAGTGAGACGAACCTCCGTGCCACCTGGCAGGCAACACATTTCGGTTTGCTTGCCTTCTTCGCCCGCGAAAGAGACGCGCGCCGCACAAATGGGACAGTCGAGCGAGGAGGAGTAGGCTGGCTCGCTGGCATATGCCCCGCGTGCGGCGGACAGGCGGGTCGACGCCTCATCCTCGCTGCACAGCGGACAGCCAGAGGAGGCCGAGGCTGTGGTGGTGGTGGTGTTCGTAGTGCTGGTGGTGCTCCCATTGTAGTAGTCCACGCAGTTCTGGCACACTGAGCAGTACAGGGCGCCCTCGCTGTACCCGCTGGCACCCAGCGAGCAGAAGCAGCTGGAGCACACTGATCCCGAGTCCTTGGAGTCCTTGGAGCTGTCATGCACCGACGGCAGACTCTTGTTGTACGCATGGGCTATGCCCCGCACCACTTCCGGCGGCAGACGCTCCTTCTTCCACCAGTGCGCGTACATCCCAGAGCGAAAGGTGGCGCGTGGTGCGGTGTCCAGCTCCCCCACAGAGCTGGAGCTGACCAGAGGATCGGTTGCCGAAGTGGTGTGCGTCTCGTCCATGCTGGCGCTGCAGGGCAGATAAATGCTCCTGGCATTCACTTGAATCTGCGTTGTGCTGACAATGGAAGCCTCTTCTTGGGTTGCCTTTTGGTTCGTGGGTGTCGTTGGTTCTTCTGCCAGCTCCTCGCCTGGCTCCGCCTCCTCCTGCGTTGCCTCTGGCGTCAGAAACTTATCACGGAACATGCCACACACATCAAAGCGCTCGCCGGACTTGCCGCTGTCATCGAGCACATCCTGGCCTGTGGCACACATTGGAAAATAGGACTCTGGATTGGGCGGATCTGGCGAGGCTATGGTGCAGCTGCCAGCCATGCCGCTGTCACTGGAGCGCGGACTGGGGCACTGGGAGCTCTCGCAACAGCGACACTTCGAGTGCAAGTGGAGATCTGCATCGCGACGTGGCGGATTCGGCGGCGGTGGTCGGTTCGACATCTGCAGAAACTGATAGCTAATGCAGCGCCTAATCGAGTCCCTGCTGTGCTCTGTGGCGGCTTCACGCTTCTTGGAGGCGGTATCAATGCACAGTTCGGTCGTTGAGCTGCTCCGCGCCGCCTGGCTGGATTCTCTTTGAGGTTTGGCAGACGCGGGACTGTCGCTCTTGTGGGAGACCCGCTTATCCGAGTTTAGATTGTGACTCTGGAAGGGTAAACTTTCGCGCTGCAACTGCAGCGGATTCTCGAGGGTGGCCAGCGCCTCGTCATAGTTGTACAGCAACTCCGCTTGCATTTTGTCAGGTGCAGTGAGACAGGCAGCGGGTAGATCCAGCGAGCTGGAGTGCACGCCATCCTCTGGCTCCGCCTCAACACTTTGGTTCTGCATCTCCTGCCGATCCTTCCACGTGGGCACATAGACCTCTGTGTTCTTCGACAGATTGAAGCGGTTGCCCACGAAAATGCTTGGCATGCTGTGCCGTTCCGTTGGCGAGGCAGGCAGGGGAGCGGTTGCCTCCTGTTCGCGCTGCACCTGGCTGAGGCTGAGATCATCGGGCATGCTGGCCAGGTTCTCGCACGCAGTGAAGGCGCCGCCCAGTCGGGCTGCATACATGGAACTGGCATCGGAGCTCTGCTGTTGTAGGGTGAAAGACTTATTTGGCTGCTCCTCCGCGACACAACTTGTGATGCTGCCGCCAGCACCCAGCTCCAGAGTGGCCGTGGAAGTGTGTACGCTGGAATTCCGATTCAATGACTTGCGAGCGAGTGCCCGCAGAGCCCTGGAACCAATGATGAGCGACTCCTTTTTCAGCTCATTCTGTGCCAGAACCTCCTGGTCATCAATCGAGTCCAGCTTGATGAGATTAATGGACGAACAGTGTCTCCTGGGCAGCCCATGGTCCACAAAGGTGCCAGTGGAGTTGCAGAGGGAGTCGTTCCTCTTGTTCTGATAAAACTGAACGTATTCAAACGGATCCGAGTCGCAAGAATGAAGATACTCATCATCGAAGTCATCCTCATAGCTCTCCGAGTCTGTGGGCAACTCAATGGCATCCTGCCGCTCCAGTTCCGACTGCCCAGACTCGCCGTTTTCATTGAGATCCTTGAGCTTGGCAGCCGCCTTGTGGCAGCGCTTCTTGCGCAGCGCAATGCGCATGAGATCGATGCTCTGGCGAGCCTGTGGATACAGCAGCATCTTGACAATCGCACTCCTCAGTCCTCCGGCCCTAACCAGCCGGGCAAAGTGCGCACTGAGATTCGCATAGGGCGCCGTGGGTGGATAGTTGCTGGGCGGCAGCGTCGTGCGCGCTGCTCGGGCATTACCCTCACTGGGCGTGCTGGCGTAGTATGCGCAGAGCGAGAATCGCGTGCAGTAGCCGCGCGAGTCCAAGTGCTGACTGAGCTGCTCAGTGGCCCAAGATTATGATACGAAATAAAGAGATAATCAAGATCATTGTTCGGTTATAACTCATCACTTACATGCGCCGCATTCAGCTGTCCCATCGAGGAGTTGCTCAGGTTGCTCAGCTGCCGCTTGATGCCCATCGGCAGACTGGGATTGTTGGCATTCAGCAGCTCCACCCACTTGTTAGCCTCGTTGGGTCCCTGGCAGACGGCCACAATGCGATCAATCAGTGGGCTGCTGATCTCAAAGGCATTCTTAATGGCATCCGTGTCCTCCAGCCGGTGCACAATTATGCCAGTGAGCGGCAGTTTGCCCTGCGAGCAAGAAAGATTAAGAGAAAGTTCGCTGAAACCGAAAGCCAACTGCAATCCCAACCTCATAGATAAAAGCGCTCATGCGCTGACTGACACTCAGGATGAGCAGCGTTTGGGGGAACAGCACAAAGTAGCGATCCCGATGGTCAGCGCCCACAGCCACGCTGCCCATGTGTATGATGTCCCCGAGGGTGCTCAGCTCCTGGCCCTGCCAGCCGCGCACTGGCCCTGTCAGCACCTGCAGCTCCAGCTCCTTCTGGCGACGCGTGGCCGAGCAGGTGGCCGCAATGTCCTTGTACACGGCCACGCTGCGCTGAGTGTCGCCACGGTCGGGGTGGCTGCTCTCCATGTGCCGCTCCAGCTCCTGCAGCATGGCCGAGTACTTGTCCAGCCGCCGGAAGGGCTTCGAAAGGCCCGTGGTGAGCACGAGCAGGCCTGGAGTGGCCGCTCCCTGCCGTTCCATGTACTTCTCCAGCTCATCCCTGGAGAACCAAAGAAGATTTTAATATTTATCCCTATGCAGTTGGGAGTTGCACTCACTTGTACTTGTCCAATATGACTATGGCTTTGGGATGGGCTGCACAGTAGGCCTGATGGACCTTCTTCATGAGTGGGGCGCTGGTGAGGAAGAGCTTGCCCACGCGATCGTTGCACTCCTCGATCTGTATGAGCAGCTCCTCGTGTGTCCTCACAATCTCCACAAAGTTGCACATCAGCTGGGCATACTCGTCCTGGTTGAGACTGAAAAGATTAAGGATAAAGTATAAATAATTGCTTCCCTTTCAGTGGAAATCTGCCACCTACATTTGCGTCTGTTGCATGGGCTCTAGGAAGTTCTCGAGCAGACCCTGCAGTTCCGCCACATGGGCACGCTCCGAGTCGAGCAGGTCCTTCAGCACCACCGAGCGATACTCCTGTATCTCCTCCGGCGGACGTATGGTCTCGGCGAGCGGCAGCTGCGCCTTGCACTCGTTCACATAGTTGCTGGGAAACCAGCCAGTCTTGTCGTTCAGTGTGCCCTCCCACCAGCCGCCATCCTCGCGCTGTGTGACTGTGATGACGTCGCCCTTCTTGAAGCACAGCTCATCGTTGTTGCTGCCCATGAAGGAGTACTCGGCCTGCACTATCAGTGGATGCTCCATCTTCAAGCTTGCTCTGGGTCTGCACTCTGGGATTGCTTAAACTGAAACGAGGGGAAAAAACAAAAGGAGCATTTTCAGTTTCGGTTTAGTTGCTGAACTTGAAAAATCAACAAAAAATCAAGCAAGCAATTTGTTCAATGAAATTCCCCATCCATTGACCATCTGTGAGCACAAAGACGTATCTATATAAGTGTCCACATGTGTGTGTTGTCTGTCCACTAACTTTCTGCCGGCACCTACGCAGCATTGCAATTTGCTCTCATGCTCTCATCATCTTTTCGGATCGTTGGACATTCCATTGGTTTCTGCCGCTATCTAAACATTGAAAAACATTTCATAAACATCTGTTGCGCTCGTCGTTAAAGGCGTGCGCAAGTCTCTTGACATTTTTCGGTCTGGCATGCTGCAAGTGTCTGGAAAACTCGTGCGCGGTACACGACGGCCAAGGTCAGAGCCGCAGCCAGCAGCCAGCAACCATTGGAAAAATGGACAAAAAAAATGTGTAAAATCACTCACAGATTACGAAATCAGAACAGTTTTTTAAGGCCAATTAAAACAGTGTGAAGAACTGAGAGCGGCAAACAAACGAATATAAATCATAAGAAACGACCGTGTCGTGTACTCAAAATGTTTACGAGCCCATTCTTTATGGGCTGTTCGAACATTACTTTAAGAGATCAGCATGCGAATTCGGACAAGCAGAATACATTCTAAATCGAAGAATTTTTATGGTTATCGTAAAACTTAAATGTCAGACGATTCACCGCGAGGGGAAGTGGATTCGCAGGAGCAAAACAATAATGCAGATCTTTTAGTTTAGAAATAATCAAAAGTTTTACTTAGCGTAAAAAGATTGCAATTTAGTCTACAATTCACAGTTAACGTGCACTCACACTCGGCAGCAGCACAAGCGCTGTACCGTTATTTCGTGCTTTATCCTCCCCTTTTTCGCTCGCTCTCAGAAAGCAGCAACAACTAAGCTGCTCTTACGCTCTCACGCTCTCGATCTCTCGCGCTCATTCCAAGCTGCGTTTGCATTTAGGGCACGGGAATACCCCTCTCTTCTGTCCTTTCAGTCCCTCTTTTGAGCACTAACGTTTTCTAGTACAGCTAGGCAGCATATAAACTGTACATTTAAGTATTCAATGTTATGAATTTGGTATGTATTTCGCAACAGCTGGTAAAAAAGTGTACTAGCTTAACAAAATGCAAGTCGTTATCTGAGCTCTGTTACTTGCTGATAAATAATACACACATAAATTCAACACATTTAGAGGCGACTCAATAAATAAACAATAATGTATAATGTACCTATCTTGAAAATCTAGAGGTTTCTGAGCAAGGAATAGATACTACATTATTACTATCTCTATGTATACTTTCCATACATTTACATACATAGATACATTAATCACATTCTTGTTTTTTATGGCTGCAATCAGTAAACGCAAAAATATGAAAAACATGTTTCTATTTTGCCCAAAATGCTATTTTTTGCCGACGAACAAACATATATATATATATAAATCTTGACGACTTGACTCGACTCGACTCCCTCCCATATGGCAAATGGGAATGGCTATATTGAGATATTGCAAGATATCTGAGGCTGTGTACATACATACGTTCTCCGAGACTTTTGAAACAGTTGACCAAGAGACAAGTTCCATTACAGTTTCCCGAGAGAGCCGAGGGCCTTCCTTTTGGCGAAAGTTGTCAAGATTAATCAGACGATTTTCCTCGGAATTCTGTCTGAGAATATTTCTATGAGGCAAGGTCACGTTTTGGTTGCACACACGCATGAAAATGCCGTCAGATTGTGGCTACACAACACTCTCGCACTCTTACGATTATACAGAATTTTTATAGAATATATACTTGTTCAACAATGAATTGATGTACGGAAAATTCGTCGTATTCCGCCGTTGCCGTTACCGTTGCACCGCACGCGTTCATTGCCTCAGCGAAACTGCCTGCTGCAGACCACGAAATACAGAAAAACTGGCGACAAATAGAAGCCGAATTTTCACGCTTTTCCCTCTCAGACATCACTCTCACTCTCTCTTTTCTCTGCCTCAGCTCTCCACTGAATGATCGCGAATGAAACACACATACAATATATCTATCTGTTCACGGGCGGATACAGCGCATTTTTTCTTGAAAAATCAACACAGATATGACAATATGGGGAACTTGGCCACAGCCTCCCAAATTTGAAAATTCCGAAATGGGGCTCACTCTATATCTTAATTTTGTTTCATTGAGAAATGTAGAACGTCGTTCCCCGTCGGGCTGCTTCTGCTTTGTTTTCTGTTTTTAAAAAACCCATTAAAATATTTCGCGTAGGAATCATGGCATTTTTGCTGGATGTGATGTTTCTCTATGTTTATGTGTTCAGTAATCGATTGAGAGCGTGTGCATGTACAAAAGACATACGGAAGAATTCACCTGTTCCGTTCAGTTGGGAAGATGCATGACTCGTCGTGGGTTGTGACTCTTCACTGAACTTCAACCCACAGAACCTGTCTATCGGATCGGGCCATGCAACTTCCCCTGATGACAGCCCTGAAACTGCTCAAGTCCCTGGCCGACACTAATCAAATTTCCGTAGGTGCTAGCCGTGGCTGTGGCTGCTTCGTCCCCTAATGAAGCAAGCGAGGACGCATCACATAATGTGACAGGAAGCATGAGGGAGGCGAGAGCCACAAGCAGCCCAAGCTGCAAACTGCACAACATTTTAATTAATTCATTAAACCTGCACATGGCGCCGCCGCAGCAATGTCAAAGCTCAGATACGAGTATGTGTGTGTGCGTTGTGCCCACGCTCTCTAAATATAATACCTACAACATGATGGACTCTTTCGGATATTAACGATCTGTCACCGAAGGCAGAAATCAAATGCATATGTAGCTGTGTATGCTTGGATGTTGTCGGAGCGGCTTCCGGAAATGCGCAATTCGACGAGGAATCATTGCGAGAGCAGAGGGAATACCTATGAGATCTCACGATGTGTATTTTTGTGTTGTGCCACTAAGAGCGTAAACAATGCCGAAAGCAGATTTGTTATTCTTTTTGTTTTTTGTTTTTCTTTTCTTTGTTTGTTCTCGCGCAAAATCAAAGAAATGAAAACAAAGTCAGCCAAAGACAAACCAAATTTATGCAGTTCTACAGCCGGCACGGCTAGTCCATCCCATACCATCAATCCATCCATTCATCCACTCTGCGTATCCGCCTCTCGAATCCCCTTCAATGTGTCAATACTGAGATTTACAACAGGCCTGAGGGGCCGCCACTTGAGATGCATTTTCCCCGCATTGGTTGGAATGTGCACCACAGACACGAGTACAATATATAGACATAATATAATTTGATTGCTCCGCCGTATTTATAGATATCTTCAGTTCGAGTTGCCGTTGCCGTTGCCAGTGGGTGGATTCGGTTCTCGAAAGAGGTGCGTGGGCGAGGAAGTTCATAATTTGAATTGATCAGACTTTGAAGTTCTCTCTTTCAGAGTTTTGAGTATCTTATTGCCAATGCCGTGGGGAAAATGAGGTCAACAGCAACCGGAACCATTGAGCAGAGAGGTTTGCTGCTATTTACAAATGAAAATCAAGCGCATGACTTTTGGTTCAAATAAAAACTTAAATAGTTCACGAAACGCTTTCATTAGAGCGCAAAACTAACAATAATAGGGCTGAATGTGAAGCTGAATGATAGTTTTGACTGTTTGATACCCTATATTTAAGCTCTTATTTTCTTTGAGCTTGTTCTAAAAACCATTCTAAGGTGCCTGATACACGGTAGAGGACAGAATTTGCACTTGCTTGAGTTTCGCCTTTGACAGAATTTTATTTTGGCAACCGTTCAAAATTTCGTTCGTATTGGAATGGTTCTCTCTGGTTAGGGGTTTCTCTCCCTATTCGCCTTCGTCTTGCTCCTCCTAGACTTGCCGTGCAGAGGAAGAGTGGCACCGGAGGAAGATAAATACAGACAAAAATACATACATATGTATGTGTGTACATATAGCCATGCAGGGATACCAGGCAGGGGCACAAGCAAACAAGCACTTTTCTACCTCCGCTCTCCCACTTAGGCGGCACGGAGACACGGTTTCATCGGAGCGGCGACCCTTGCTATTGACCCAATGGATTATGCAGCATAAATGGCGGGACACTTCAACCTCAGCGACCTGCAGCCTCTACGAGACGGCGCACTGTGCCCTGAGCCGGCAGTAAATTACACTGGCACTCTTCCCCGAAAGAGCCACTAGATTGTTGCTTTAGTTGCGTGCAGCACCGCTGACGCATCAATGGAGGGATGGGGCTTGCAAGTGGGGTTTGGTTCGGATGATGCCACTGAACTCTGACTGCGGCATAGTCGTAGGAAAAAAGTCGTCAGGCCAAACTGTCTGGCCCTCTGCATCGGACTCACCTTCAACTTTGCTTATTTGTAACAATCATTTGTTGCGTTTGTTGTTGCTGTTTCTGGTTTCGTTTTGCTTGTCGTTTCGCAGCAAAAATAGAGAATGAGTAATGGGGGGCCTTCGGCTTCTCCCACCTTTCTACCACTTTTGTCACTTTACGCTGGCCCCAGCGTGCTTTTAATTATATACACAATTAGTAATATACTAAATAAAACACACTCTTCGCACTGCATTCAGGTATTAGGACAGAAGCTTCCGATTTTCTATTTAAAAGAAAACACAACAAACACAAGAGTTCGATGTTCGTGTGTATGATACGCGCTGATAACGTTCACACATTTGTGGTCGATTTAATAACGTCTACATTATCACTTTCAACTTAATTTTGTACTTTTCTAAGCATCATTTTACAAATACATTTTTCGTCATATTTATTAGGGCTGCACAGCAGTGTAACCGCGGAACTATCGATACAATATACCGTCAGACCCTCAAAAATATACCACAAAGTTGCAGTCAATATATCGTTTGCATGATACATCAGGATCATCGCAGGGATGATCGGATTTTTATGGCAACTAGGTTGCGCATTGATCAGGTACTCGTGGTACTCGTTTTTATTTCAATAAATATGTTTTGTCATTTTGAAAATGAAAAAGTATATTTCGGTATATTTTCGAGGCCCTGACGGTATATTTTATCGATAATTTCGTGGTCACAGTGGTCACACTGTTCCTCACCCTTAACACACGTGTTTTCCGTACGCACGTTTAATTTTATTTGCCCGACAAATATTCACATTTATAATGGCCGACGTTGCAGAAACTACCGTCCCCGAGGTTAAGGAGCAGGTTGTGGAGGAAACCAAAGCAGAGGAAGTCGCAGCCGAGGAGCCAGAAGCCAAGAACGGCACTTCCAAGGAGGAGCCGGCTTCGGCGGCCGACGGAGACTACTCCAAACAAGAACGCGCCATTATCCGGCAAGTAGAGTATTACTTCGGGGACGCCAATCTGAACCGCGACAAGTTCCTGCGCGAGCAGATATCGAAGAACGAGGATGGGTGGGTGCCGCTCACAGTGCTGGTCACATTCAAGCGCCTGGCAACACTCTCCACCGACTTCGATGAGATCATCGGAGCCCTGAACAAGTCCGACGAGGGCCTGGTACAGATCAGCGAGGACAAGAAGGAGCTGCGTCGCCACCCCGAGCGACCCATCCCAGAGCACAACGAGGAGCGCCGCAAGGAGATCCAGGAGCGTACAGCCTACGCCAAGGGCTTCCCCCTGGACTCGCAGATGAGCGAGCTGCTCGACTTCTTCGCATCGTACGAGAAGGTGGTCAACATCACCATGCGTAAGCACTACGACAAGCCCACAAAGTCGTACAAGTTCAAGGGCAGCATTTTCCTCACCTTCGAGACCAAGGACCAGGCCAAGGCATTCCTGGAGAAGGACAACAAAGTGCTCTACAAGGAGCGCGAGCTTCTCCGCAAGTGGCAGATCGACTACCTCAAGGAGAAGCAGGAGGAATATCAACAGAAGAGCGAAAAGAAACAGAAGAAGAAGGAGGCCAAGGCGGAGCCCGCCATTGAGCTGCCCAAGAACGCGATTGTGGTCTTTGAGGGTGCTCCGGAGACGGTGTCCCGCGAGGAGATCCGCGAGGCCTTTGAAAAAGTTAAGGATTTCGATATCGCCTACATCGAGTTCAACAAGGGCGACACCAAGGGTTCGGTCAGGCTCACCGAAGCCGACGCGGCTGATAAATACATTTCCAAGGTGGAGGAGGGCAAGGTAAGAAAGAGGTTTTGATATTTCCATTGAAAGATTCTCGCTAACGTCCAGCTTCTGTTCTAGTTGAAGTTTAACGAGGAAGTCACACTGACACTCCGCAAGGCCACTGAGGACGAGGAAAAGACGTTCCTGGACAAGGCCGTGGAGTTTATGAAGAAGCGCCGCGACTTCAGCCGGAACAAGAACAAGCGCTTCGGCCGCAAGCGCCACGGCGGCAACGACAACCGACAGGGCAAGAAGTCGCGTGCAGAGTAGGCCACCTGCTAGACCTTGCAAACGTGTTACTCCGTAGATCTAGTTGACTTAGCTTTAAGCTCTTAAGTGTACGTCTGGTACGCTGTACGTTTTTTCTGTAGTTTCCGAAGATAATCCGTAGGATAATAATACAGAAAGTATCTCTGAAGAGTTTGCTTTGATAACATTATTACAAGATGAACTCTTAATTTATTTTACTTACAAGAACTACGATTTCATAATTTTCCTTAAAAGAAAGCCACAAATAAAAAGAAAGAAAGTGAGTCCCCCGAGCCGGTTGTATTTTTAATTAGTTTTTATTTAATTGTTTCATTGCGGTTTAGTGTATTTTCGTTCTCTTTGTGTTGGTGTTTTTGTTATAAATCAAAGGAAAAAATAATTCAACTTAAAAGCATTAAAAGTGTAAATTACAAATACGTTTAAATGCGATTCAAAATGAAAACAAAAACTGATCAAACTTCAATATACGATAGGGTTACCGATAGGTGATTTCGTTAGGGGTTTGCTTTGCATCGCAGCTTGTACAATATGGAACGGTCGCGTCGCTTAGATGCTAGGCGGAAATTAAAACTATGCGATCAATGGAACTAAATAGTATGGGTTGCATTGCAACAAAGAGACTAAAATTAAATTAGGCTATCAACTAAGGAGTTAGCCTGCGATATACATTGACGTTGTGTGGGTGGAACTCAGACTGGGTGGGGGAGGGACGACAACGAGAACTCAGATCACAAGTAAACAATAATTCGATCTGCGCAAGCACAAACACTTTCTTTCACAACATTCATTTAACAATATCGAACTGGGGAATCATTTGATAAATCGAGAGCACAAGCCGGGAGATTGCGGATATTGCGGATTACATACGGATCGTACTTCTTACAGGATCTATGAGTATATACTTAATCAACATTTACGTATAAATTAAACATTTACAAACAACGGCATTGTACTGCGATAATATATGTAGTGTGTGTATTATTTAGTTAATTATTATTATTTATATACTCGTTTCGTATGTGGTGGGGTGCGCTCAAGCGGATCATCTCTCTGTAGCCGGCAGAAAATGTACAAAGCTTCAGCCAGGAATGTTTCGTTCTCTCCTTTTGCTTATTCACTAAACTAACACGATTTACATACAAGGGGAGGGAAGGGAGTCTCCTCGAGGCTCTACCTTCTTAATGTGTGTACAACAAACAGTCCATTTAATACATAATCCATAATCCATGCTCGTATGTATGTATCTTCCGTATGTTTAGTGCGTTTCAGTCCCATAAAAAAACCTAATTAGCTCTGTTAATTGCGAGCATATTGAAAATGGTTCGACTTCAGACAGTTCTGGTATAGAGTCAGCAATCAAATAAGGTCCGTAGTCCGTCATCGAAGAAATTTAGCAATTGATTTTTAGGGTAGGTTATCAGAAACCATTTCGAAATGGATAGATTCCTGGAGTCAGTGTCCTGTAGTCTTGAAACGCACTGTAGGGCTGAGGGTTTGATCTGTGCTTATTTCCACACTGGCGTTAGATCTAGGGTGAGATTCTGTATGGTGCGGTTCCTCGCAGAGCTGCGCTTTTGCTTCACAGAACTGGTGATCTCGTTGACGAGCCCTTGACAGTCATTGCAGACGGGCACCTGCTCGCCGCGCAGGTTCTCCTTCTGCTCCTGGGTCTGGGCCAAATGGCTGCCCGAGGAGAACAAGGCGAAGCCCCGCGAGAAGCGGGATCTATAATGGTTCCAGAATTAGTTATCAAGTTTGTTGCAGAGGCTACAGGCTACACTTACTTCCTCTCGAGTGTGCTGCTGTTGGACAGCGGTCGATATGCTGGGCTGTGCACGGGCAGACTCCGGGGTCCCTCCATGCTACGCGACATGGCGTTGTTGTAGTGATGCTTCTGGTGGTGCTGCATCACTCCCGAGGGTCGCATGGCTGACGAGTAGGAGGCGGACATGGACGCCTGGTCGTGCAGTGCCTCCACGGCATGGCCAGGGGCGGCGGAGGCGGATGCGCCTGCTCCGGGCCCCACGCTGATGCCAGGAGTGCTCATGTTTGATCTTTGGTGCTTGGGTGAGGATGGCGCACTGCCCACAGTGCTGCGAGTCTGCAAAAAGGGGAGCTCAAGTGAGTAAACTGTCGAGGAAAAGCCAAGCTGTCTGCGTACCTTTCTATCTGACTCGGAGCGCAGGAGACGCTCAATCAGTGACTTGGGGAACTGATCGTCCATAATGTTCCCTGTCGACGAGGAGTGCGCCTGGTGGGCGTGGTGAGAGGGTGAGGGTGTGCTCGAGCTGGCCGGACTGGACAGCAGCGATGGTGAGATCAGCACAAGGGGAACGTTCCTGAAGTGCTCTGAGGGAATGCGCATCTGCAAGAGAGCAAATAAATGATTAGTCAGTCCTCTAGCTCTATGCTTTAGAGACCCACCTTGGTGTAGCACTTGGCGCAGACAGTGCGCTGGCAGAGCTTGCACTGTATGCCCCAGGGGCCGAAGAAGGAGAAGCGTGTGCGCAGGCACAGGAAGCAGACGCGACGCTTTTCAACATCCTCCTTGACGCGCACGTCCATGGGCAGGCCCTCCAGCTCGGCCTTGGTCATGACAGAACGTATGTGAACGATCTCCGCCAGCGTGACGGACAGCCGATCGTCCCCCCGTTCCATCCAGGTCTGTTTATCCATAAAGGACTTGTTCCATGGCCCAAGCGAGGATGTTGAATGAGCCTCGTCCAGCCTGGGCGGCAGCTCCGTCGTCTGCGCGTGCTCGCCCGCTGTCAGGGGGCTCTTCCTGTGTGCCTCACTGCTGGCTCCTGCCGACTGCTGACTGCCTGCGTCATCCGACTGCCGCGACTCGGGACGCGTGGATGGCATCGAGTGCGTCTCCTCCAGGTTGCTCTGGCAGCCCACAATAGTGTGGCGGCGCAGCGAGGCGCGTCTCGACTCGCACTGAGTGGCCAGATCGTAGGCTGTGGAGTACAGAAAGTGCAGAAGAAAGCGTTAGACGGGGGTCGATACTGTTTTTATATGAATGTACATTGTGGAATGAATGTGGCATTGGGTGTACGAGTATGTAAAATAAGAGGCTGAATGAGCTTAATGATGGGCACCGTGATGCATCGAATGGAGAGCAAGCGTGTGAGATTTTAGTTTAGCTTTTTAAGATATTTACATTCCAGGGCATTGTCGAAGAACCTCTGGTACTCGTCCTCCGTAAAGGATGGCTCTGCGGGCGGGGCTGGCTGTGGTTGTGCTTGCTTGGGTGGTTGTGCTTCCACTGCAGCGCCAGGAATTATTGTGGCAGCGTTAATTTTTGTATATTTTGTTGGGTTTGTTTTAAGCGTTTTGTGTAGCAGAATTGAAGTTAAATTATTTCTCATACAATTACTCGTTTACCAACAGGAAGCACGGGCACAGCAACCAAAAATGGATTAGTGCAAGAGAAAGATCTACTCGAGTGCAGAAAATAATAATAATAATTGTAATATTTAATATTAATAATGCTATGGGAGCAGCTTGCAGTAGATTCTCTTTTATTTTTATACATTTTTCTTTGCTTTTTGAATTTTACAAAATATTTCGAGATTTTCGTTTGTGTGTGTTTTGTGTGTGTTTTGTGTGTGTGCGCTGCTCCTTAAGGCTTAAAGCTGAACCAACTCCATTTTGTTATCTGCCCACACCAAAACCCTTTGGGGGTTTCCTCCTTTAGCTTTTCTTTTTAGAATCTAAGTTTGCGTTTTGTTCTTAGTGCGATTTGGGAGCGGGTAAATAATTATAATACTCGTACAACACTTGCTGGTTTGCTGTTGCCTTGTTGCCTCGCAAAAACCATACAAAAAATAATAGTTAGTCGAAAGTAGTTAGCAGTGTGTGTTGTGGTCACAGTAAAACGATCAAATACCTTTGCAAAATTAGGTTTGTTGTGTTGGGAAGGAAAGGAAAAATGTAAGAAATAAAAATAAAATAAATTAAAATTATAAGAATAACTTAAACCATTTTACACAAAATACAGAGTGCGCAGTGCGTGTCGGAACTGTAAGTTGGCCTTATAGTTGTGTTACGCACTTTGTGATAGCTAAAGACTAAAGCCAGACTTTGGCTATCAGAGTGGACCAGCACCAACTGAAGAGGAAATTAAACCCATTCAACTGTTGTAAAAGTTTCTTTAAAAGCGGAAAAGAGTAAAGTTTTGAAAGCAGCCCTGGAGTAGCTTTCGATTGTGTGAAATACATCCCTGCATTAGTAGTTTTTGAAAGACCCATAATTGTACCTTGGAAGAGAATCCTTCAGACATTTTATGCATATAATCGGACAACCCAGAAATAAATTCCACACTCAAGTCGGTCCGAGAAGTGACTGAATTTCAAACATGTACAGACATACATCTAAGTTGCCTCTGCCAATACTTGGTGTTAAGTGCCCAAAGTGCCCGTATATATATTTTATACAGATTATAGATTACATTGATTGCACAACGATTCGAATTGGATACTCACTTGTGCGTCTGGGGCGCATCAGCGACGCTGTTGCCTGGCAATCTTGCCGCGCTTGGCTGGGCACCATGTAGCCACCAAATGGATAAGGGGGCATCTTGGGCTGAGAGCAGCGGTGCAGCTCGGCTAGATGGGGGTGCTGGTGATGCTGGTGTGTGGCCGCTGTGGAGTGCGTGCTGCTCATGCTGGACTCATCAAAGAAGAGCTCATCGTCCTAGAAGATACATTTTGATTAGCAAAACGAACAGAGGATCAGCCCTGGGGGGAGACTCACCTGCAGCTGTGAGAAATCCACTTTAATGAGCCGCTGCCTGGAACGCGACAGCGTGGAATTCGCACTTGGAAGCACTGCAAATTGAAGATTGAAAGAAACAATGAGTCTTCTGGTTCCAAAGCGAAAGTGAATGCAGTCCGCAGCAGCCATGGGAAAAGCTGCGCGTGATGGGATTATCTAATGCATAGCTTGGAGTAATGCCATCTCTCTGGGTAGCAGTCTGCAGAAACCGGCTCTGCTCATGTCTGCCCTTTCTGTCCACTCATTGCGCCATTAGAGGAGACCTGCCCGGATGGTTGGCTGAGTGGAAGTTGTCAACACGCCGCCTCGCACTTTTCAGCGGCCATTCGGCCACCAGAAACCGTTAAGACCCGGCGCACTTAATGGTTCTACTTATGAAATCACTACGAAGAGCCGCTGCTTGCCTGGGAACTTCTTGGAGCGTCACTCTACAACTTGTCGAAGATACACTTTATGACTGGCCCCATTATAGCCGCTACGTGACTGGCCTTTGACCCGCGGCTACACACAGGAAAAGGAAACAAACGTCACACACAACCAGGTACAAGCGAATGCAGTTTCAGCCACACATTTTCCCCTGCCATTTCCTAACAAAGGGTATCCAAAGTTCTGCACAACGATGGTGGAGAGTGGATTACGGATTGCTTCATGGCCTTAATGACTGGAGCACAGAGTCGGAGTGCAATTACCGCAGCCACTGCTGGCGCTACAGATTTACTCCTTGAACACATACGATGCCTCGGGTGCATGCGACCCCCTCCCTCACACACTTAAAAAAAAAAACATAGACGAGGCTGAAATTGAAACCAGGTCAAAGCAGAGCAAAGCATTTTTCGTTGCCCAAAGCAATATTGGGGCATGGAAACGTTTTTCGGGTTACCTTTTGATGACTTGACGGCCTGCCGTGGCTTGGGTGTCGGCGGATTGGGCACTGCTGCTGTCGACGAGGCTGTTGCACGCGGCGCGGCACGAGGCGTTGGCTGTGGCTTGTGCTCCGAGTGGCAGAGATTGCTGTCCCCATCGGAGCCGCAGTAGAGGGAAGCATCACTGCCCACGTCCACCACATCCACGTCGCGCACAACGTGGTGGCTCTTGAACACCGATGCGGCCGTGGAGCGCTTGGCACTGGGCATCCCAGGCTTTGAGTCCATTTCGAAGCGGTCACAAGATTACAGTCTCCACATGTCCCACTGGTGGATGGTGCTGAGTGCTTGGGTGCTCCACTTCCACGGCACTTCTCGAATCACTTTGGCTCACTCTTGTTGCCTTTTCACTTTTCTCTCTCTTTGTGTGCCACACACGGTTGCATTCAGGCTATCGATCCGGGGAGTACAACAAATGGGAACCAACCCCACAGAGCTTCGCCGAGGGCTGGGTCCGTGCCCTTTCCTCAAGACTGCCAGACTGATGGCCGATTTTCCACTATAACTTTCCACTAGGCCTTGCCTTTCTGCGAGCCTTTTTCGGTTATATTAATCATCCAGTTTTTGTCACTTTTCCCCAACCGCGCCACGCTCCCACCGCTCTCAACATAATCAATGGACGCCAATCCTCCAACCAGCAGCAACAAAACCGAACGAATGAAGCGCAACCGCCAAGCCACAAAGCAACAAAACACGGAACCCCCGAACACCAAACCAGTTACAGTTACAGTTTGCAGTGCGAGTGGGCACATCCATAAAAGGTGCGTCCACTCCGCTCTTCGGTGGCCTAAATTGCTTGCATGCTTTTTGCGTTCAATGTGTGGAGGGAATAACACTTCAAAGTTTAGTCCTAATCTTATGCAAAATTATAAATATATCTAAATATGTATCTACTATATTTATGCATATCTGTACCAATACATTTTCAGCTATACAAATATTCGCATGAGCGCATGGTATAACTGTATTGGGTAGGGAACAACATACTCAGCGCGCATGCGCAGAGAGAGAGAGGGAGAGCTTGAGAGAGTGGGTTTAATGAGAGCTTAAGCCAGAGAGCGTACTGTTGTTTTGGCACACTCAGCGTTTTGTTTTGTTTTTGTGGGGGGGGGGGGGGCTTTTACGTCACTGCTTGGGTGGGTGGTTCGTGTGATGACGTACAGGTAGAACGCGTTGGCAGGGACAGCACCGTTTATGAATAAGCAAAGGGGGTCGGTCTCTGGGGTATTAAAAACAAAGTTGCCGCAATATTGATAAAGTGTGCAAGCATTCATCTTTGGTTGGGAATTCACATTCAACTAAAAATGGAAAAGCAAAAAGTTGACTTTGTATTCAATATGTCTTAGCAGGCATTCATAAGTATTATGCACTTTTTATGCTTCCAAAAACTGAGATACTGTCATGAAATATTGAATACAGCTGCTTGCAGCTTATAGCTTAAAGCATTTGTTGTCATATACTTTCTACATCAATTGTAGACGTAGACACTGCTAACGCCTAAAAGTAGTGCACACTTTTGAGCTCTCTTAACCATGTAAATTATTCGTAGCTGTAAGTTGCATGTAATGTTATGTAAAATAAATGTAGCTTAAGGCTGATGGACGGAAACGAACGGACTGTTACTGAATCTTATTTCAAAGAACTGTAGAATCGAGAAGAAATTGTTTAGAAAAAGATTGTGATGATTATTTGAATTCAGAACTATGTATGAATATCGTTGGGCAGTGTTTGCTTTAAGGAAATGATAGATCTTGATCGGAATCATTCATTAATGGGCATATGCACGTTGTTGACCAATTGAATAGGTTTTCCGACAGTCAAACCATATTTTTCGGTCGGCAGCTGCAAACATATCTCGGAGACAAACAAGATTCCCAGCTCCAGAGACGGGAGTCTCAAAAGAAAAGCAACAAGCAACAACCACAAACGAAATGACAAACATACATATGTACATAGATATGTATGTACATACATAAAAACACTGTCTAAGGTGGAGGTTGTCGTGAGCCTGGCTTTGGTCGTTGTCGTCGCTATCTTTGTGTGTCACAGTTTTGCACGCTTCCTTCAGCAGAGCGGATTGTGGATTTTGGATTGGGGATTGGGGATTGGGTATTGGAAAAAGTGGCCGTTTTTGATCTATGCTGGCATGCGCTCTGCGCGGTGGAGAAACAGCAAGAAAGAGACAGATTGGGACGACAGACAGAGCGACGGACAATGGAGCTCCCCGGACGACAAGTGCAGTGAAAAGTTTTCCCATCTCTCTCTCTCTCTCTCTCTCTGTCTCCACTTCGCTCATTCTCTCTTTTGGACTGTGTGTCTTTCGAGCGGAGACATCTGTCTGTGTAAGCACATGCGTGTGACAACAATTTATGGGCGGCTGGCGTTTAAAATTGGAAATCGGCAATGACAATCCATGGAGAGGATGGCTGCGAAGACAGACACCCACCAAAGAAAAGAGGCGGCATCTATTTTTGGCACTCACTGTGGAAAAGCACACTGAGTCTGCTTGTGCCGGGAAATCTATTGACAGACAATTTAGTGACGCCCTTTGTAGTGAGTTTATGACCAACGTTCGATGTCCGACAAAGCTGTTGAATGCATGTATGTACATAATATGTACATGAATACATAAATACGTACATATTTACATAGATATGAGCGGGGATGCAACCAAGCCCAGAAACCGCCGCACTCGTCTAATGTTTAAGCTGATAAATCCTAGATATTGCCAAGATGTTGTTATTTGCTTCAGTTACTGCAACATCCCTTGCTCCTTGGCCTACTTAATTATGGTTTTTATTTGAACTTTCTACTAACACTGCAACCCTTTGCAATCGAGGCTATCTCTCTCGTAGAACTTTCCCTAAAGCTCCAAATGTTACACACATAATCAAACCATTTCTTTAAACTTACTTCTCTGCCTCAAAGGAGGTGCCTCTGGTGGTGTGATCTGCTTCAGCTCCTTGCCCTGCCGTATGGACTCCATGAGCTGTTCTCTGGGCGAGGGCGTGCACTTCCGGGGCGGGCCCAGCTGCCGCTCGGATGCCTGATTGGGAAAGGGAAACAAAGAACAACAAAAAATAGAGCGACCAAGAATTAGTTGAAATGTGGAATTGGAACAGTGAATTTTTATTTGGAAGCCACAAAATTTAAACACGGCAAGCGGCCATTGGGGAGCTTGACTTTGGATCGGGATCGGTTCTGCTTTTGGGAGTTTGGGAATTGGTTGTGGTTGTTGATTTGGGGGCACTACACACCTTCTTCAATGGCGGCCGTGACCTGATGAACTCCAAGATCATGGCATGGGCATCTTTCTTGACACGCGGCGGTATATCTCCATTGACCATCACCTTGCGCAACTGATACTTTCTGTAAAGAGAAATTTGCTCGTTGATTGGCCTGTGCTTGTGCCTGTGGCTGTGCCTGTGCTTTGCGTGGGAATATCTCTGTTTTCTCCCCTCTCTCTATGGTACTTACTTGGCTCGAATATCGCCCATGAGTATCTCGTAGGGCGTCAGCTCGTACTCGATGGGCGTGCGCTCGAAGTTGCTCTTCTTGAGGCGTACGCCGCGGCGCAGCTCGTCGATCACCTGCACCCAGAAGCGTGCCTGCAAAATGGGGAAAGTGTGTCTCAGAGCTGGTTCGGATAGGGGAACAGAGGATATAGAACATGCAACTCAACTAGGGACATGCTAGGCCTCGACCTTATCCACCTACTTGCAGAGCAATCCACACCTTCAGTTCGTGCATGGAGGCCGAAGGGTAAACACAAATCAGAGCATAAATCGGCAGAGAGTTGAATGAAGAGGGAGATGGACAGCAGCCCCTGCCGTTATGAATATTTTTTCATTTAATTAGCTAATAATAATTGAGGCGGCCGTTGCATTGGTTGCTGATTAATGCCAGGCATGCCAGACATGCCAGCTTGCCACTTGCCACTTGCCACATGACAAGCTAACGGTGCGTACATATGAGTAATGTGTGTTGCAGGAAGACTGCAACTTCAGCTCCCAACTATTTAGCACACAATGGGAGAGGCTAGAAGAGGCACGGGGCATGGCATCCTATATGCCTGCCTATATGTAACAGCGTTTTGGCGTTTTTTTGGCGCGTTTTCACTTTTCACTTTTCGCTGCAGCATTCGCTTTTCCTGTTCCTGCCAACACTCAATTGGTGGCAAGTGCATTTTCGAGACAGCTCATTAACTATGCAAAACACCCACAAATATCTGCAAAAAACAAGAAGCTAAAGATGCCAAGCCACGCTTCAATGCTTCGACCATTGTGGCAGCAGCTTCCGGTAGAGCTGTCTGTAGTTGTGCGTGGAGTGTACAACCCTTTTGATTAGCATATCAGGCAGCAAACCGCAACACACAGACAACAGCAGACGTGCAACACTCTATGAGAGTTCACAGAAAAATGCCCCACGTGCTGGCAAACAGAAACAGCAACAGCAAAAACCCAGCATGCAGAATCGCAAACCAAAAATAAATGTAAATTTCTCTCTAAAAAATAAAGCAAAACTCTTTGTGCAAACTTTGCTTTGGTTTATGACATTCTGAAGGCTGTGAGATTCTGGGAAAAACAGATAAAACGCTGACTAGAGACACACTTCTTGGGTTGGTCTGCCAGCAGCAGTAGCAAAACAAAACAAAACAAAAAACAACAGAATGGCCAGGCTCAGAGCAGACTCTTATCGAACAGCTAGGGGGAAGTGATAAGAGCGCTTTTAATCAAGCCAACAATTGCCTGAAATTACAACAAACACACACTCTAGAGTGCAGAATGTGGTTCCAGTCCGACGATGATGGGGTCTGGCCAATTAATTGGCAATTGGCAAAGGCTTTCAACTGGCACAAATATTTATGGTCTATTTATTTAATTACGATTGTGGGGTGAAGACGGCCTCGTATCTGGCTAAACTCTTATACACGGTCCTGTGGAATGGACTATTACATGCTCCTATGATTTGTCGTTTGTTTGGCTTGCACGCAAAGTTTCTGATTTGTTTGCTTGCTTTTTGCGGTTTTCTCTCTGTGCTATCAAACATGCAAGCATTGCGAATGACGTGAGCCAAGACTCGGGCCCAGGGCGGAGAAATTACTCAAGAAAAGGCGTGGCTACAGGAGGGGCAGAAAGTCCCCGGAAAGTCCGAAACACTTGGGGGTTCATTTGTGGTTAGAATGTGTCAAAAGCGAAGCCCTGCAACTACATCCATAAACGTGTTGGAGCAGGTTTTCAGAGTCAATCTTTTAGTATTGATTACGCAAAATAAAAGAATTAATTGAGTCTAATATGATTAGCAGTTCATATAAGCCGAACAGCTCCAAGACTTTGTTAAAAAAAACAAATATTCAAAGGCAGAATAAACCAATTAGCACCGGCATTACCTTTCGTTTGAACAAGTTTGTCGCGAAGAAAACTAATTAAGAAAACGGAGAACTTTGCGAGCGATTCTACTGGACTGGGCAGCTGTCTGATTCAATCAGATAAAACCAAACCCAAACACACACCTCGAACGGTAAAGCAAAGCCACTCTAGTATATGTTTTCGCGAAGCTCTGCGTTTGCCATCGGCTTTGCGCCTTTGCGTGTCTGGCCAATTTGCGTGTGGGTCTCAATGGGTTCCGGAGGTCCAACGATGATGGCAAAATTCCTGTGACGGCCTCGACACATTCGCCAAAGGTCAGACCGAATACAAATTGATCAACTAATGTGTGGCCCCAGTATAACGCCGCACAATGGTTGGAGTAGATGGCGGTGAACTCATTAGGATGATGGTCGAGTGGCCAGCAGCAGTCGTCGGTTGCCGCGGGGCCAATTATTGAAATTAAAAGTGAATTCATTTGGCAATACCTAAGCATGAAATAGTTCACTTTTTCCGCTCAGCCATAGAGGAAAACCCACAGCCAAAAAAATGGCTCACATGTGCGGACGGACATGACGCGTGAGCTCCCAGTCTCTGAGTCTCTCTGTGATAATGATTATGATGATGGCTTGGCCATGCTCTGTGCGAAGAGGTGCGCCTGTTCGACGGCATAACAGTCTGGACGGGGGAATTGGAGGGCGAATCTTACCCAGTCGTTGAAGCCCAGCTTCGCCAGTTCTTTCTGCGTGGTAGGTGAAGATTCTGAGGCTTTGATCAGCTTCTCGGCACCTGTGGTGTGGCAGCAGCATGATTATCGAGTGATTCATCTCATTTACACCCAAGCCAAAAGACTCACCATTGTTGAGGACTTGCTGCAGGAACACGCGAAGCTCAATTGTCTCCGTGACCAGGGCTCGGCACACGGCCTTGTAGTGATTGTCTGCTAGAGCGGGTTTCTGCAAGTGATTTCTGCAGGCCTGTTAAGAGAGAGAAGCGATTAAATATGTGAACAACAAAAAGTGCAATAATATTTATTTAAATTTAAACTAAGCTGCAGCTACTTTTCCACTTTGCATTTGTGTGTTAGCTGCACGGTTAGCTGGCAGAACTTCTGCTCACTCTTGCCTGACAGCAATGTGTCAATTCGAAGTATAAAGTGGCTCATTAGAGCTCGGAGCGAGTCAGCAACGGTGTGAGGTTTATCACACGCCCCAATGCCACAATCCCCAGTCCCCAGTACCCAGTCCCCAGCTGGGATGCACTTGCTCCCCCGGAAGGGGCAGCAGAAACATTCCAGCGAGGCATTTGTCTGTGAAATTCAGGTTCGATTTCAGATTCTAGCCTGCTCGCTGGTTTCCTTGTGATTACGAAATCGCCTGTCTTTATGGTTAGTTTTGGTTATTTAACATTGCGGCCGGCACTGCAATTGAGAAGCGATTGGAAATTGTAATCCAAGTAGAACCGGGCTATGCTTGTTTGGCTGCGGTTAGCCGCGATACAGATACAGATACAGCCACAGATACATGAGTGCAGCGCGCAGATACTTTTATTTGTCTCTCTCGCGGCTAACTGTAACGCGCGAGCCAAACAAGTTTTTCCCACAGAGCATATACACGGCGGATAGATACATCGATCTATATACTGCATATATTTATATGTCAAATGGAGCAGCTCAGCGCCTCAGAGTCAAAAGGTCAGCTTCGTCCCGTGGCGCACCCCCGACTGCACTGAGTCATGGATTTGTGTGTGGATTTTTTGTTGGCACATCATGACACGATTCGATCTCAAATGTCAGATAGCAAATCGAAGCAGAAAAGCGGAGACTTACCTCGATTATGTGCTCTAGTTCTTTGGTATCGTTGCGCTCCTCCTCCGCCTCGTCGTCCCAGCGCTTGTCGCCCTCGTCGATGCCCTCGTCAATGCAATCCTCGTCAGTCTCTGGAATAAAAGCCACAGCGACAAAAGGGTCAAATGTTGCTTGATTTGGTTTATCAACGTTTTGGCGTGATTCACATGGCAGGAGATCAGCGAGGGGGGAGACCTTCAGCTCGCTTGAAGGCTGCCCCATCGAAGAGCGCAGAAAGGCCCCTTTTGAAAGTGACTCAAGCACACAGAATCTTGTGTGAATAACTAGCGATAAGTAAACAAAAAGCAAAGCAAACCCCAATCCCAGTCCACTCATTTGTTACATGCGAACATTGCGTGCTCTCCCGTTTTGTGGGAACTCTAAGAAATATTCAACGTGCTGCGGGAACTGTTGGAACTCCAACTGAGTCCTCAAAGTACTCACCATCCGCTGTCATAAAGTTGAACAGATTCTCGAGCTCCTGCGACATCTGGCACTCCTCGTCCTCCGGCAGATTGTAGTCCAAAGCGGTGTACACAATTTCCGCCATTTCGCTGATGATCTGCAAAGTAAAAACAATATTAATGGTTGCACATCGAATTATGGCTCATAAATAGTACAGAGAGCACGGCTTAAGGCCCGGCTAGGGTCTGTCCAAGGGGCTGGGGTGCCTGCTGGTTAGTCGCCTTGACAAACAAGCTGTTCAGGCAGTTCGTTAAACTGACACTCTAATTGGAGTTGAAGTTGACGAAGCTTCGTAGGAAAAGCAACAAAAATAAACACTAATTGTTGTTGTTTAGCCAAGAGCTGGGAAGTTTTGAGCTCGATCTGAAGTTGCTAAAGTTCAGGTGCAACAACAGCAGAGAGAGAGAGAGGGAGAGGCGAACAGCAGCAACTTCAAACACCCAAACCCAAGTGCAGTGTCAGCTGTAAAATGCTGCCCCTGCCCGAGGCACCAGCCGCTGTCGATTCACTTTCACTTTGGCGTTGGCGAAAACACTTGCCGAAAAAGAAAGAAAAGTTATACATAGAGTGTTAAGACATAAACTGAAGAAGTCGTTAAATAATAATTCGCAGCTGCCTGCTGGCTGACAGTGAACCCCAAGCCAGCCAACAGCAAGACGTGGGTCGAGACGCCCACACACCTGGCGAGGCATCCGTTCATCCGTTGAATCCGCAGCCACCGCCTCTCTCCCGCTTTGATCGTTGTCTTTTGTGTTTATTGTGAAAATTAAATGATAAAACATTGTGACAGCTGGTGCATTCGATTCACTTGCCTTGGGCAGACTACAGACTACAGACGGGCTAAGGCTGCAGCTCTAGCCACTGAAGAGGTTGACAACAAATGTCACCTCTCTCCGTGGGCCCTTACATCATTTGCTGAAGAATTACAGCTGCTGTGGCAGTGGCAGTGACAGTTTGCAGGCGTTGAGTGGATGGGAAGACGGACATAATTAATGGCTAAATTATGGGCAAGAGTTGCAGGTGCAAAAGTGGCACGTTGAATGCAGAAATACACTTTCGGCCAAGCACATGGGAAAAAGTGGAGTCGAAGCGCAAACTCTAATCAGAGTATCCCAGAAATGTTGTGCAGGAACCCATCCATCATCCGCATCGACTCTTGAGAATTTTCCCATGCAATTAGCGAAGGGAACACAAGCAGCAGGGATGCAGGGATGCAGGGAATGTGCATTGTTGAGAGCACCGGACTGAGGCAATGCAAAGTGTAATAGCCCAAAGGGGAGCCGCCGCCATGGAAGTCGTTTCTTGCTGCCTACTTTGCATATAAGTATTCGTACTCGTACTTCGTAACCAGTGCAAAAAGTATGGGTTTATGGGCTCTACATGAATGTAGAGGGTGTGCCTGTTCCCAATCCGACAATCCGACAATTCTCACCAAACTAGTCGCTGGCACTTGGCTAATATCAAAGTTGAAACCCTGGCAACATGCAATGCGGCAATTATAAGACAGTTTCCAAAGTTCCATTTCCAAAGTTGGGCCCCACAAAGCCATGGAAACAAAGGGTGCCCCCAGTCGCCATTTGGCAGCTTAACCTTTCGACTGACCTGAGCAGTTCCTTTGGCCGTTGCTGCCTTTTTTGGGGTGCAAATTACAAACTATTTGCAGGAGCAGTCGCGGCAAGTGGCACTGTCTGCTGTGGCTGCAAATATTTGTGTGCACTTTTGCACTTTGGGGAGTGTCTTTGGCTTTGCTTTCAAGGAGAAAGGGCAACCCAAAGCACATTTCCTACTCCGACAGCCATCCATTATGATGGTCCATTGTCTCATGGGACATCTGCAGGAATCATAAACTCACCGCACGGACCTCTCCCTCTCTCTCTCTCTCTCTGTCTGGTCTCCTACTGTTTGCCCACTTGACTTGACCATTTGCTAGTCGCAGACGGCAGTGGCTGTGTTTTCTCTCGCTATCAGGATTCACATTTTATGCAATTGTTTCCATAGAAAGAATGCCGCGTATAAATACACTCTGCCATATATACAGACAAACATAGTGGCAGCCTACACTTGTAGCTCTTGGCTCCAGCTCTGGCTGCTCCTCTGGACTATCTGGCCAGTCGTGATCAATGTTGGCAGCAGTAGCCGCAAAAAATGCGACGCCAATGTAAAGCAGCATAAAATGGTATCTAGGCGAAGGGGCTGGCTCGGGCAGTCTGCGAACGTTGACAAGGCGACGCTGGCGACAACGATTAAAATCTCTGGGGAGACCTGAGCACACGGACGTTTGGGGCTGCTGCTATACTCAGGGGGGGTACTCAGTTCCCAATGAGAACTGGAAATATTTTTGTAAATTACAATGCAATTTTATGCCACACAAAAGGTTTCGTTTTTTGCTTCTTGTTTTCAGAGTAACGTTTTTTTCTACCATTTCTGTTTCTGTTTGTGTTTGTGTTTGTTTTGGTCAACTGCTGGCTGGGCCCATTAAGCACTTTACATTGAATGTGGCAAGATCAAAGTGGCTGAAATTTATGACCGCAGATACGAGTACACTCTGTGCCTGTGCCTGTGGCTGAGCCTATGCCCAAGTGCAGCCGCTGACCAGACCTGGTCCAGGACAGTGGGTTGAAGGAAACAACCAGCAGCTGCTGCTGCTGCTGCTGCTGCTGCTGATGCCGGAGCAGGTTATACAATTTTAGATTTTCCAGTTTCTTTTTGCTCTTCACAGCTTCACAGTTGGCCCGCTCTGCATGGGTAAGGCGAAGGGGAGAGGCAGGCGATAAAGGAGATGGGAGGAGAGGCCAATGAGTATGCATGTTTGACCCAAATTCAGGCCGAGAGCCCCGACCACAGGGAGAGGGAAATATGTAAAAGACTCGTTTGAATATCTAAGCTTGTGCTTAGGCTTAGGCGTGCACAGCGACAAAATAAATGGTTATAGTAATAAATGTAATGGAAATTATGAAAATATAAACGGAATATAATAATTGTGTGGTAAAAGTTTCTAATGGAAAGTAAAAGATGCGGCTCATTCGGGGCATTAGTTTTTACATTTTACAAATGAATAGTACATATTTGGCATCATAAAACATTCAAGTTTACTTATGTAAATATGTACTTATGCATGTAATACATATTTTTTCGTTTTACCTCTGCATAAAATATGTTTACAGGCAAGCAGTGCATTTTCGCTCAGTGCATGAAGCAGTGCTGTGCAATATGTCATCCCACAATTATGTTCTCATCTTATCAGGCAAGGTGTCGGCCCCAGCCCCAGCCCCCGTTCCCTTCCCCATCAGCAACTTCTGCCTAGCGGGGAAAGTGAATGGGAAGGAGAGAATGCAAGAATACGAGCATAGATAAATGCAAACATACAGACATACACACATAAATATGCATGCAAGTGTGAGCGAGTTGGATGTGCAAAGGGTGAGGGAGGAGTGCGGTTGTCTTAAAATAATATTTGCACATCTTTGCCGGTACGGTACGGGAGCGCCTGCAATTAGCTACAACATGATTATCAGGCAAGTCTCTGCGTCTCCCACCGTAGCTAACCTTCCCCTATTGCAGTTGCTATGTATGTATCTCCCTAGAGAAGCTCTGCCCGGTGGGGCCCTCTTGTCTTTTGTTGCCTTCGCCTTTGTCAACCGACGACTCGTTTGCCTCGGCAAACTATTGTTGTTTGTTTCGGCACAGACGTGCGAACTGGGTTAATTTTCTATATACGTATACATACATATATACTTATACATACACTTACATAGATACGATCTGCAATTGTACTTTACGCTGTCTTGTACATAGCTAGAGCATGGCAGTAGTTTCACACGATTCGCGATTCGCGATTCGCAACGAGCTTGCCAAAGAAGCAAAAGCCAAAACTAAGCTCTGACTATCAATAATTTCACATTATTTTCTTTCAATGTTGGTAATAACACGTTGCTAATAATACAATATCAGCTCAAACTGGTGTATAAAAATTACTAAACGCAGGAAAACTCTCCTCGATTGGTTTCTCATGGTGGACCCATGGGAACCAGCCTCGACGGCTTGGCCATCGATCAATATCGATGGAGTGCCTGCCATCAGAACTCCTAATGCAGTTCCGGTAAGTTGAAGATCTGATCAGGCCACCTAGAAAAGCTTCTCCTCTCTCGCTCTCAAGCACTCTCACACATGGACGCGAAGAGCACTTAGCGCGCACACACAAAGAGGCGCACGGCTTAGGAGGAGAGAGACAGAGAGAGAGATCGGAGATTGGAGATTGCGATCTGCAGGCCCTACAGCCAGATATGAGTACAGCAACAACCAGATCAGCAGGCAGCGCTGCCATCAAGCTTCAGCAAGCGTCAAAGCAGAGCCCGACAGACGCATCGATAATAATCGATGGACAAGTTTCGGAGTGGAGTAGTGGGTAGGAGGAGAAGGAGAAGGAGGAGAAGAAGGAGAAGGAGAGCGAGGTGAGAGGTGGAACATAATCCCTAGCAGCATTATAACGGTACCCGAAACAAAACGCTAATTGTACACGCCTCTAGAACATGACTCAAATCAAAAGAAAAATAGCATTGCCGGTGGGGTCTTAGCCTACAAAATGCTATATATCAATATTTGGGCATCTACGGTGCGGAGTGGGGTGGGCGGTGATCAGAGGAGTGGGGAGTGGCAATGCCTGATGATGGGGACGGTGAGATAGCACAAAACGCTGGCGTTTAATTGGGTAATTGGCTCAAGTACCGTACGTATTACCACCAGCGGACCAACAGAACAACAGAGCAAAGAGACTTGGACCAAAACAGAAATTGAAAGACTCGCGCAGTCCGCACATGACTGCTGCAAAAGATCGAAGTGAGGAGGAATCAAGCCAACTGTGCCACAGCTCTACAATAATGCCACAAAAGCAATGTGCAAGTGTGTAAGTCGGAGCTTATGAATTGGCCAAGTCCGTGTCTGCTCCAGCCTCTAGCCTGCAGCTCCCATCACAGAACAGAATGGTCCGGGAACAACTCGTGACTGGCGGCAACCAGTTGCTGTTTGCCGCCTGGGCTCCATGCAGTTTCCCATGACGGGCAGCAGTATATGCAGTTCCCGAAAAATTAGATACTTATG